AAAGCCCGTCTCACGTATGCGGTGAGGGGAGCGTTACCTGCAGCGGGATCCGGAGAAGCTTCCGGAAGGTAGTGACGTCTGAGCTGGCTCTTGAAGGTCAGCTGGGTTTTGTTTTTGATTTTAAATATTGTAACAATTGCACAACAGATATACAGTCACTGGAGAAACATAAAAATGCAGATACATGTAACGGAAGAAAAGGCTGTAATGTCCTGAAATACCATCCCTCAGAGAGAACCGCCGTTAACACTTCAATCTACCTTCCTGAAGGTCGCATCACGTTGGGGACATGTCAATACAGCAGTGGGTCAGCAGCCGCGGCACCACGCCCACTGTCCACACAGCAGCCCATTGAGTGGCCCTAACAGACGTCATGGTCAGCATGTCCTGTTTCCGGAATGTGCCAGGGGGACGCTCTGGGGACGTCACGGGTCAGGGCCCCGGAGACCTGAGCGGGATAGGCCTGCACTGATGGATGGATGCAGACTTTCTAAAACAGTCACCGCGGCCTCCGGGTTACTATGGCAGGTCACACACATCTGGTGGCTTTTCCTCTGCAAACTCCACTTCAACCATGACTAAGAGACGTGAATGGACGTTTGCCCACGAGGGAGGGGCGGACAGGGCAACGATGACTCTCTGAAAGGTGAATTACAGATGGACCTGCCGTCATGGGTCACCGGCAAGAGATAGGCAGCCCTGAGTGGAGAGTGGGGACAGTGATATTTTACCAGATTTAACACAAGAAGATCCCCAAACTCAGGATTGGCCGCAGAAGTGCCCCTGGAACTAGGGGTGCAGGAGTGGGGACGATCAGGAGTCTAGAGTGACAGGGGCTGCGAGGAAGTTAGATTCCTAGATCTACTCCCTCCCCAGCGGCCCCTCCCCCGTATCAGCAAAAGGCCGAAGGTCTACTCTCTGGACCATAGGCAGCCCCGATGGAAAGCTGACTGCGGAGACCCCAACTCGGCTCCCAGAAGGCTGGCAGCCAGACCCTCCCGCATTCCCTAGGAACTTCCTAAAGACGCTGACATCAAGGGCTCCCAGGACCCCCCCTTCCTGAATCTCAGAGGCAACAAGCCCCCCTTACTCTCACGTCTTCCACCCAGCTCTGTGCTCCGCTCACATCATGGGCTGACAGCCAAGGATAAACAGATATTGGAAGGAAGACAGAGACTTAAACAAATACAACGGAGTCATTTGGAAGACACACAGCCTACTTCATACTATCAGTTTCCAAAAGCAAAAAGAAAACAAAACAAAAAAAAACCAAACCCAAAAAAAAAAAAATAAAAAAATCCCAGAAGAAACAGAGGGTAGAATATCAGCAACAAAAGGTTTCCAGAAGATTTCTCAGAGCTGAAGACATAAGCTTCCAGTGTGAGAGGACCCACAGTGGGATGCAAACAGACACACTGCAGGGCTCATCATTGTGAAAGAGCAGGACGCTTGGGACAGAGAGAATGTTCCATAAGGTTCCAAAGACGAAAGAGCAGGTCACACACAGAGCAGAAGGACACGGACTCTCTAAAGACTTCTCAACAGCTGCCCTGAAAGCAAAAGACATAAGGCAAAGCTCTTACAATTCTGCAATGAAAATCCTTTCCAATCAAGAATTCTATACCTGGCCAAACGATGACTCTGTGAGGGTGTAAAGGCATTTTCAGACAGCCGAGGTCCTAAGAAGCTTACCTCCCGATTCATCAGAAGTTATTAGAGGATGCACTCTACGAAAATGAACACGTAAGCCAAGAAAATATAGGTGCCAGGGAGCCAGAGATTCAAAGAAGTTCCCCAGAGGTAAACAACTGGAGGTTCTAGGATGGTGGTCATGGGCAGGATGACAGGGCGACTGGTCCACATTGGAGCACAGGGACTAAGGGGCCAGATGTGAGGACTTCTGTTACCAACATCCCTGCAGTTCTCTTNACAGGGACTAAGGGGCCAGATGTGAGGACTTCTGTTACCAACATCCCTGCGGTTCTCTTTTCTCNGCCAGATGTGAGGACTTCTGTTACCAACATCCCTGCAGTTCTCTTAGTTTGGAGCAGCCTGGCTCAGACCTTTACCTTCACCGGCTTGTCTTGACCTCATATGGCTGAGGTTCCTGCCTCACCCCTGGGTATGAGTATCCTGTGGCTGCTGCAACAAATTACCACAAATTTAGTGGCTTAAAATAGCACTAAGGTCTGTTTAAAATGGGTCTCACCGGTATCGGGAGATGTTGAGGTATCAGTGGGGCTGCTTTCCTTTCTGGGGAAGGGGGTCTGGATGCATTTTCCTGCTTCTGGAGGCTGCACATTCCTTGGCTCATGGTCCCCCTTTCATAGTCAAAGTCGGCAAGGCAGCTGAATCTTTCTGCCTCCATCTACCACATTTTAGGACTCTTGTGATAATATGGAGCCCACCTGTATAATCCAGGGACACTCCCTGCCCGCCGGTCGGCTGAGTAATCATCTTAATGCCATCTGCAACCTTGATTGCAACCCCCACCTCTCAATTGAAAATTGGACCCTCCTCCCCCTGGCTCCTTCCCCCTCTTCTCTCCAGTTTCTCTTTCCAATGTGCTGGGCAGGGGTCTTATGGAAGGCGAGCTCCAGGGGAGGTGGGGGCGGGGCTTTTGTCCACCTCAGTCATGGCTGCATCCTTGAGGCCTGTGGCCATGCTGGCACGTAGTAGGTGTGCAGTGAATGCCTGCCGCTCGGATGAATGCACGGCCCACACTGCAATCGGCTGGATGCCCGACCTTGGTCAGCCCTGTTTTCCTGCTGGCTCCCAATCAGGGTCTCCCATCGGTGCCCTGGGGCTGGAGCCGGGCTGTGGTCTGGCTCACGCCCTCCTAAAACCGGCACCTGCCAGAGACACCACTACCTTTCTTTCCATGGCTAGGCAACCACCAGTCTGCGTTCTGTCCCCAGGGACTGGCCTGTTCTGGACACGTCTATAAATACGAGTCGTCTAGTATGTGGCATTTAACGTCCAGCTCCTTCCACGTAGCATGTTGGCAAGGCTCATCCGTGTCGTAGCCTCTGTCAGAGCCGCAAGCCTTTTTGTGCCCAAATAACATTCCACAGCGTGGATGTGCTACACTCACTGACTCATAGTGATGGTTTTAATGTCCCTCACGCATTTCAACTTCATTAAACTTTCACAGCTAAACTCACAGTTCAGGCCTCGCATCAGGCGATCAGACACAGAGGGTTAACACAACGACCTGGGTGGCGGCCGCTTCCCGGCTGGTGGGAAGGGATGCAATTTGAGGAGGGGGCTCACTCCGCGCCCGTCAGGGTGTGCATGTGCATCTCACACACTAGACTACATTTTAAAAAAAGGTTTTAAAGATGAATATTAAGTTCTTTAAATGCTCAAGTAGCAGGGTTTTATTTTTTAAAAAAATGTTTTTATTGATTTTAGAGAGAGAGAGAGAAACATCGATGAGAGAGAAACATCAATGGCTGCCCCCTGCACGTCCCCTACTGGGCATCAAGCCCACCACCAGGGCATGTGCCCTGACTAGGAATGGAACCGGCCACCTCTTGGTACCTGGGACGATGCCCAACCAACTGAGCTACACTGGCCAGGGCGTAGTAGCGTTTTTTTAAATAACAGATTTATTGTGACTTAATTCACATTTGCTGACATTCACCAGTTGTTGGTGTACAGTTCCGTGGCGCTTCACACCCTGACAATGTGGTGCCACCATCACCACCATCTAGTTCCAGAAGCTTCTTTTCTTCCTAGAAGGAAACCCGCCCCCCCTAAGCAGTGACTCCCACTTCTCGGTCACGGCCCCCAGCCGCCACAAGTCTCTTTGCTGTCTCTATGGATTTCCCGTCCTGGACACTGCCCACGAGTGGAATCGTCCAGTGCGTGGCCTTCTGTGACCGGCTTCTTTCACTGAGAACAAAGTTCTCGAGGTTCATTCAGGTTGTGGGCGTGTCAGGTCTTCAGCCCTGTCTAGGGCCCGCAATCCCCTGCGTGGTGCGGACAGGCCTCGTCTCATGTGCCCATCGCTGGCAGTGTTCATGTCCCTCATTCACTTCAACGCGAGTGCTCTGCCCCGAGCCGCGATGTGGGCTCTGGGGACCCAGGGGACCGTCTGCTTCTGCTGGGTCTGCGCAAATTCTCTGGGCAGCTTTAACCGTCTTCCAGCCTCAGAACTTACACTTCAAAAGCAAAGGCTTCAGCCCGGCCGTGGTGGCTCAGTGGCTGAGCGGCGACCTATGAGCCAGGAGGTCAGGGTTCGATTCCCGGTCAGGGCACAGGCCCGGGTTGCAGACTTGATCCCCAGTCGGGGGCATGCAGGAGGCAGCCGATCAATGACTCTCATTGATGTTTCTCTCTCTCTCTCTCCCTGTTCTTTCCTGTCTCTGAAATCAATAAAAACATTTTTTTAAAAAAAAACAAACCCATGGCTTTAAAAGCAGTCTGTGGGGTTGAAACGGTTTCCCCCACTTAGATCCGGTTCTGCTGGGCTGACCCGGGGGACAGACAGTTCTCATGTCCTGGGCTGAGAGGAGAAAAAAGAATGGCAAGGATGCCAGGGTGGCTTCTCTTGTTTTGCAAAAAGCGCACACACACACACACACACATGCTCACTCACACACAGATGCACACACACACTCACACAGTCATGCACACATGCACTCACACACATGCACACACATGCACACACACGCACACACACGCGCGCACACACAGGCACACACAGGCACACACACATGCACTCACACACTCAGGCACACAGGCACTCACACACATGCACACACACATGCACACACGCACACACACATGCATGCACACAAGCGCACACACAGACACACAACACACTCAGGCACTCACACACATGCACACACACATGCACACACATGCATGCACACACGCGCACACGCACTCACGCACACACACACTCAGGCACACACGCTCCCGAGGAAAGCGGCCGAGGGCAGTGCCGATGGGAAAGCCGACCTCGGGGCATGACATCACTCGGAGAACATAAATCTTGGTGCGTGTGATTTATTTATGTTAAGAAATCCACATACGACGCCGAGTTTTCAATGGCTTTGTTTAAGTGACAGTTTTCCCGTTTCAGTGAGAGTTGGGGTAGGATAAACAGCTCCAGCTGTAAAAATTAAAGGCGGAGGTGAAGCCAAGGTGATTATTACACAAAAAGGCTGAGTACGGAGGGGCCGGCCCCGGCGTCTGTCCTCGGATGGAAACCACCCTCCGCCACCACGCGCCCCGAACAATCGCCTGCTGTTCATTAATTAACCCCCTGAAAGGCGCTGCGTTCCCACGGGAAACTGTGACTTCTCCGATGTGGGAATGGCGTGTCTGTGTGTATCAGAGCGGCCGCGTCCCGAGTGGGCCGGGCTTGGCGCACATGTCACTGACGCATCTTCTAAACGACACGTTTTATGATTGGAAAGACCTCACCAGGAGCCCAGATGCTGAGCATGACCTGGGTGGTGCGTGACCCCCCTCCCCCGTGGGCCCCCAAAGCCACTGGCTGGGTTGTGGGACCTGCTCCCAGAACAGTCCTGGGATGGCCACCCTGAGGGGGGCTGACTCCCCAGAGAGAGCTGGACTCAGGGTACAGTGACCCTAAAGAGCTGTCTTTCTGGACACAGGCAAATAAATGTCTCAGTTATTGTTGGGAGCACGTGGGTGGGTGATGCCAGCCCAGAGCACTGGGGAGCTCACACCCGGGAAAGGGTCCGGGCAGAGACCCCACCCGCCTACCTAGGTGTTATCCGGTCACCTGCCTGGGTCACTTGGAGTAGGGCTTTGTCAGGTGGCGGGCCCCGCTTCCCTTCACCCAAGGCACGCCTCGCTCCTCCGAGCCTCAGTTTCCCCATTGGTAAGGAGCAGACAATTGTAGCTCCTGTGGCATGAGATTGTCGTGAGGGTCCCATGGCCCTGTGAGGCACAGGGGCAGGAGCCAAGCCTGCCGGGCACAGGAGACTAGCACCACCTGGCTCGATCGCTCCAGGCCAGGCAACCCTGTGGATAGACAGCCTCCTGATGGTGTCCCGGCCTCATGGTCCCACGGAGGGCTCCGAGCAAGTCGGCTTCCTTGGCCAACGTGTCCCGTGCAGCGGGGCCCCTGGGTGCCTCGCTCACTGCTTGGTCCCCTCGGTGGGACTGGTGCTGGCTGCTGAATGCAGGTGGCCCTTTGCAAGCCGGGACAGATGAAGGACAGGCCACTCAGGCCAGGGCTGCAGCCTCCACTCCGACGTCCTGTAGTGTTGCCCTTGGCCTCCTTCTGTCTTTCCCTGGGCTGCAGCCAGGCTGTGGGGGTCCAAGGGTCACTTCCCACCTGCTCGGCACCCCTCATTCATTCCTGAGTCATTCGCCCCTTCACTGAGCTCTCAGCTGGCTCCAGGCTGGGGCTTCCCGGGGAGCCGGATGCCCTGGAGCCCCAAGTCTGCTGCAGGACCCGCCCTCCAAGGCCAGCCTCACCATGGGACCATCAGCTCTAGCAGCCCACAGCCTCGCTGAGGCCTCGGCCATGTGCCAGTGAATGAATGAATGAATGAACGAATGCTGGGTCCGCAGCCTGATCCAAGAGCCTTAGCATGGATCGCAGGTGCAGGAAGACCAGCTGACCCTCAGTCTCCACGCTGACCAGGCAACACCGGGGCAGCCAAGGTCACGAGGGTGAAGCAGACCCTGGAAGCCCCTTAAGACCCGCCTGAGGGCTCCCAGGAGCACTGTCAGTCCCTGCCACACTCGCCCTCTGTGCCCAGCCAGGTGGCTGCCCTCCGTGACTCCAACTCAGAGCCTTGGGGACAGGCCTTGGTTCTGGGAGGGGAGGGGTCAGAGGGCACAGGAACCCCTGCCATCAGCAGTCTCTGCTCCAACAACCCGCAGAGCTCCCAGGAAGCTCCAGGACCCCCCCACGCATCAATTCCTGTAACCCTCCCTCTGGCTAGACAGGTATGTGTAAGAAACCGGGGCTCCCAGGAAGCTGGACGGTTGACCCAGGGTTCCAGGGGGAGGGAGTGGGGAAGATCCTGGCTCTGACTATGCTGAGGCTCCTTCGGTCTTCACTCCCCCCCAGCTGACTGCTTGCCCTGGGAGGGGGTCACAGCACAGCCGCATGCATCGGGCCGAGGGAAGACAGGGTGCAGGGAACAGCGCCCAGGCAATTTCTCTGCTGACCCCCACCGGGCACAGACTCCCATTATAATTCCAGTGATATCAAGGGGGTCCCCATGAGTGGGGGGCTTCTCAGGGCCGGAATCATGGGGTCCTTACCCTAGTCCCTGGGCCTGGCACACAGTTGGTCCTCAGGAAGTTTTCTGACCTGCCTGGGCTTCAGGGGCCTTGGGACCTTGTATGTGTGTCTCTGCCTCTCTGAACATCGCTTGTTCCTTCTTCGAGGGGCTTAGGTCTGGGATGCAGGGGGCAAGGATGGCAGGGGGGCACCCTCCCGGCCCTGCAGGTGGCAAAACCTGAGGTAGTGGAGCCAGTTGCCTGTACCCGGCTCCCTCCCTAGAGCCTGGGTCCTGGGTCCCGGAGCCTCACTTCCACGGAAGCCAAAGGCCCTGCCCCTGGAGGACACTCGGACTCGCTCCCTCACCTTGGGCCACTCAGCAGAGGTGATTTTCTCCCCTGCGGGAGGCCGTCCAGATCTCCGCCCTTTTCTAGTCTCCACCTCCGGCCAGAGGTTACAGGTTCAGTAGCAGGCACAGCGTGGTGGGGGAGGGAGTGTCCGCTGGGGCTCTCCCGTCTGCCGCAGCTTCCTCCCCCTTCGCCCCCCAGGGTCCGGTTGGGAGCAGTGGGTTGGGAGCAGTGGGCAGCCAGGTTTGCTCTGGTCCTGCTCCCTCCTCTAGCTCCCCCCGCCCAGCAAGTCAACACCCAGGGGCGTAGTTTAAGGGAAGCTAAAGGAGCCCAAGCTTCCAAGGTCACGCCCTGAGGGTCCCGCCCAGGCTTGCCCGGACACGCAGGCCCCCAAAACCAGGAACACCCAAGTCCTGGCAGGCAGGGGAGTGAGGGAGACGGGTGTGTCCCTCCCAGGAGCTGGGGGGGCACCAGGGCCTCTGTGGCTTGTCCTTCCTCCCTGGCAGCCCCAGCACCTGCCCGCGGTGAGATACGGGGTGCAGGGTGGGCCACTCCGAGAGCTGGACCTGGTGGGTCACCTCTCCCTGCATCCCGGCCCCAGAGGACCCTGAGAGAAGCCCAGGGCAAGCCAAACCCGTCCAGGGGCGAGCGGGACCCTCACCCTCCTCCACCAGCCCTGGAGACAGGAGACCTGGGAACGGGTCTCACAGAAGCAGGGATGGGCAGGGGTCGCTAAGAGCCACCCCGCACCCCTTCACCTCCCGGACCACCTCGGGGCCACTCGGCTTAAACGTGGCCCCAAAGGGTGGGCTGCATTCCCCCCCCTCGTTTCTGTGGTTCCCCCTTTAACCCACATAAACCTGTGAGAGGGGCACAGGCGTCTCCGGCCCCATTTCACAGATGGGGAAACTGAGGCGTGCAGGACCATCTACGGTCCAGGGGCGCGTCTGCCCTCAGGGGGTCTAGCCCTCAGGACCGCAGGCGCGATTTCGTTCCCAAAGTAGGAAGGTCGGGGGTGGGGGGCAGAGACCCCGGTGGAGAGGAGGGAAGAGAAAGGGCCTTTGGGAACCGACCTGTGGATTCGGGCGGGAGCCCATTGGGGCGTCTCCCCGGGAGCCAGGCGGCCCGTCTGGTGTCCCCGGCTCCGGGGCCTTTGGGGCCGTGAAGAAGGGGCTCCCACCCAGCGGCTCCCCGGACTCTGCGGTCCACAGGGGGGACGCGCTCGTCGTTTTCGTTGCCGCCCGCGCGCAGCCGGACCCGGGCGCGGGAGGCGATGCGTCCACGCGGCCGCCGGAGCGGACACCCTGCGG